AAGTTTGGGGGTTGTTTTTTTTTAATGCTCCCCCTGGATGCTGCCAAACAGCCCAGAGGAGCACGCCGAGGAAGGAATGAGGCTCACTTACCACTGATGCCTTCCACGACCCCCCAGTACAAACCACTGAAGCCAGGGCAGCGGGCCAGCACCTGCTCCCCAACGGCGTAGAGGTGGAACGGCTTCCGGGGCTCCTTGATGTTCTCGATGTTGATCACGCGGCTGCCATCCGGCCAGCTGATCAGGACGTAGAGCCTTGCAGCCATGGGGGCCAGCCCCACCTGGACAGGAGGTGAGCAACACAAAATCCTGCTATGCCAATTCCCCCTGGCCGGAGTGTTATTCCTCCATCATTTCCCCTTTCATTACTAGGGATACACTCCCGGCCCCTGGATCCTGGGAACAATTTGCAATCAAATGCCTAATTACGCAAGCCGGGTCATAGCACCAGACACCTAATCCTTGCAAAATCTCGGCCGTCCTTCGCTGCGAATAGCTTGCTCCGCATTTGCGAGGACCGCGAGGTTTCTAAGTGACTTACAGTTATATGATGATGCAGTTTCGACCCCCGATTAAATCAGGGCGCTCACCAGCAGCTTGGGAGTGGCTGAGACCAGGTCATTATAAGAGGCGAAATCAGAAATCAGGTTGTGAGTTAAAGTCTGGCTCCGGGGTAAAAATAAAGCTGCAGTCAAGAATGGATTGGGAATAATCAGGAAGTCACGTGCTAGTGCTACAGTAGTGAATGCTACAGAAATGGTTAGAATTAGGAAAAATAACCTCTTTGAGGGGGTTATAACTTCTCTCTAGTTCCCAGCATCTGAGGAATGGGGGTGTCCTGCTCGAGTACTGCAAAAAGTATTTGAAAACCACATTTCTTGCATGGGAGAACTAAGGGGGGGGCTTACAATTAACTCTTTCAACCCCACATGTGCAGTCAAGTGACCCACATTTGTGCCGGGATCTGCCTGCTCACTGCTTGCTGGTCTCTGCAGTCGAACGGGTGGCAATACCACCAGGTGGTGGCTCAGCATGAGTGCCCAGCTCTCCTCCCTAGCGCTCTGTGTGCTTTCGATCCAAATAGCTTCGCTGACATTTCCCTTTCCCACAAGACTGAAGCACAGTGAGGCACAGAGAGCCCCTTTCTGCGTACCGATGCTAACCAGGGTGGATGGGGATACAAGCAAGGAGGTTGGCTTGCTGTGTGACCTCGAGCAAGTCACTTCCTTTCTCTGGGCCTCAGCATTCTCCTCCTGTAAAATGGGAATAATGGAGCTGGCAGCCTTTGTCACGGGATCTAGAAAGGAGAAGCGTGATGGAAGAGCTAAGAGTGAGTCCTGGACTGAAATATTCAAGCATGTTGCAGCGTGGCTTTCTACCGGGCAGATGAGAGCAAAGCTTGCAGGTCCAAAGCACTGTTTTTTTAGGTATGCACATTGTCGTCAACACCTGCCGAAGGAATCCCACTCAGCTTCTCTCTGCCATGGTGCTAGGTGCTTATTAACCAAGGTTTGCCCACATGGACAGGAAAGCCAAAGGGAAAAAACACCACCTGCACTGTACAGAGGTGGCTATGAAACAAGCCGAGAGTAAGTAACTTGACCAAGGTCGAGTTACCGAGTCTGTGGCAGAGGAGCGGACTGATGGCAGATCTCCTGAGCTGCAGCCCTGTGTCTTAATGACAAGAGTCTCCGTCCTCTCCCCCACCCTTATTAGCAACACAAATCGCTTTTCATTGGTTCAGTGCCTGGCAGTCTGGCTTGGCTTTTCCCTGCAAGATAATGATCAAGGGGGAATATCCACAAGCAAGCAGTAAGCAAAGGTGAGCTGGTAGGCCATGCACACACAGAGGCACCTGGGCTGCCCAGCGGGTCAGCTCGAGATGAGCGACCCACAGCCATGCCTGGATACGGGATCCCAGAACAGCCTGGGAAATGAATCTAGGGCTGCCAGACAGCAGGTGGGTTTCGAAGAGACACGGGCAGCCAGTTGCCTGTCCAAAAATGAGTGAAGACTTAATATCCTACCTTGGTAGACATGGGTTTGGGAGCACAGGAAAGACCTCACACAGTCCAAACCAATTGCTCTCCTCTGGCTTCACGACGCCCAAAATAAAGGCTTGGTGTTTCCTGCACCATCCACATTTTTAGTCCATTAACCCCGGGCTCTGACCCCTACACAGAAAACTTTCTTTTTCTTCTTCCTTTCTGCCATCCCTCGCTTCAAAATGAGTTTTGCAAGAATTCTGCAAATTCTTTTGCCAAAAAAGAATAAAAAGGCAAGTAACTTTCCACTACCCTTGCAAGCTCGGTGGAAAACAGTCATTCACCTGCCTATTTAATACTGTCCTGGGATTTATCCTACTTCCAAGTTCACCAAGGCACCCCAAGGGAAGACAAGGTCTAACGGTCACAAACTGCTGGAAGACCATTTTAGACTGGACATAAGGAAAAACTTCTTTACTGTCTGAGTCTCCAGAGTCTGGAATAGGCTCCCCCCAGAAGTGGTGCAAGCACCTACTCTGGGTACCTTTAAGAAACACATCTATGCTCTTCTTGCTGGGGTGATCTGACCCCCGCTGACTTCCAGCCCCTTGGGGCAGGGGGCTGGACCCGATGATCTTGCAAGGTCCCTTCCAGCCCGAATGCCTATGAAATCTATGCCATGCCGCTCACTGCTTTATCATCTATCAAAGGGCTTGCCCAGCGAATAACCATCCCGTCTAAATGCACAAGGACTGCAAATAATCCTGGTCTCGAGACCAAGAGAGGGGGCTGGGATAAATGCACAGCTGGCATTTGTGCCCAAAAGCTTGCAAAGAACAATTTCCCCAACTGTTCAGTAGGTCTAATAAAAGAGATCACATCTAGCCAGAGAAACAGCTGAGATTTTACCTTCCTTAACTGCCCGGCCAGGTTTCTAGCCCTGTTTGAAAGCAGCAAACACAATTCAAGCCTAAAGAGGAACTCTTTGAATCACTTCCCTTTTTTTTTTTTTTTTTTATTTAAACCTCATCTCCTTAAGTGGCTCCTGTACCCTCCAACCCCACTGACTGGCCTCCTTTTTTTTTAGTTTATTTTAAAGAATGCGAAAAGAAAAGCTAGCGCCGCACGCACAGAGGAAGAGAGAGACAGAGACAGAAAGAGAGAGACAGAGAGCAGAGCCTGACATCAATACATCGCAGTCCTTGCCTGGTTAGCACGGTAGTCTTGCAAAATGTCTCCTGTCTATCCAGCTCTCAGCTGCCTGCTGCAGAAGGGAAGGTAGCCGCACAGTTGTTTTGCCGCCTGAGCATCCCCTCACCACAAGTCCTCGCCAGGTTTCCTTTGTCTGGGTGAGGAGCAAGCCCCCAGGCAGCCCCCAACTGCAAAACAAATACACCTTTCTGCTTTCTTTTTCTTTCTTCTTTTTGGGGTTTTTTTTTCCTCCCCTTCCGAAAAACCCTCGTGTCAGTCGGTTTCTTACCCGAAGAGAGAACAGAAAAGAGGAGGAAAAAGCCTTGGGTTTTTTGGAGCATGAATAAACCTTGCATTTCCATGAGTTATTCATGAATAATTCATGAAAATGCATGATTAATTCAGGTTCATGAATTATTCAGGAATAATTCGCGAACATTCCTGGTTAATTCATGCTTGCGCAGCGAGTGAGTCACGCTCTAGGGCTTGGTGAATTCTTCTTTTCTTTCTCCCCCAGACAGATGAAGAAGAGAGGCTCGCAAGGGCCCCGCGCTGTACGCCTCCCCTTTTCGGCACAGTATAATAACCCATTCTTGGGGCCCTTTGGAAACCAGAAAGGGAGAGCGAGCGGCAGGGCGCCTGAAGCCTGCAGGCCACGGAGGAACAGAAAGAACTTGCAGACAAAAGGAAAAACTTGGCAGCAACCAGAACCCTTTCAAAGCACCTTTGGAAAAACACCACCCCAACCATATTGTGCATTTCCCCCCTCTTCCTCCCTCCGCAGCCAGCCCTGGATAAGATATCTCTCATCCGTGTCCTGTCGTCTGCCATGTATTGAAACCCAGAAGGCACTCAGGCCCAGCCGGAGGAAGCCAAGAATGACATTTCCCCATCTGCCCCTACGTAGCCTTGCAAAGCACCTTGACTTTGCATAGACCCCTAAAATCCAGCAGTTTGCAACTGGTTTAATTGAGTAATTAAGTTATTCTTGGTGGCAGTCAACCATGGGGCTCACCTCCTGGGCTTAGCTTGCTGGCTAGATGTGATCCTGCTGTATGGATTTGCTGCCATCACAATACCCCGTGCATATGTGCAGAAAGCTTTTCATAGCCACTTGCTTTGCTATGAACAGGCAAGTTCTCCTGCTGTAGCCAGTGAAAACAACCCCTTTTCTACAGTCAGACACTTATGACTCTATGGTGGCAATTGGGATCTGGACACCAACCCAGTTGCCCCATTGGGTACCTCACCAGTAACCACCACAAAGTAACACTTTCCTTTGAACAGTCCCATTAAAAACCTCAGTACAAGGTGTCCCTACCACCCTTTGTACCTGTGAGATGGATATAATCATTAGAAGTGGCCTGAACCAGAATCATAATTGCACCTTGCTCCAGGTCTGGGGTTCTCAGGTCTGCCGTTCTCCCGCCCTGGAGCCCCGGGTCTGGGTCAGATCAAGAACTAGATCTTGTTCTGGAGCTGCCAAGTGTATGCAGACATTCATAGCATTTCTTGAAAGGTCAGGATGGTCACGAGCCCCTGCAATCAGCCAAACTCACAGCATTTCCTCCACTTCCGACTGAGATCCTGGGGATGTTTTGGGTTTGTTTCTTGGGGAAGGGGGTTGAGAGCTTTTGTAAGATTTGTGGCAGAGGGATGGGCAATTGTCAGTGAAAGCCCCTTTTGAAAGCAACCCTTATCCAAAGGATGCGGTTTAGGTGGGTGGGTTATTCAGTATACTACTGAATAACCCAAGGCCCTCAGGGGAGTCTTGGCTGTGACTCCAGACCTCATGAACATGGCATCTCCGTTCTCCAAACGCATTAACATCATCATCCATTTCTGCCATCAGCATCTCAGAATCAGGTATCTGGGAGGGGATCAGAAAACATGGCACAAATTCTCTTATAGGTAGCTAGGTTAAAGCTTATGGCTGTGCTCAGTGTGTCCCCAGGACACACACACCAAGTGTGATCTGCAGGGACACGAGGCATTGAAATGTATACTTTACTCAGCCTGGATAGAGGGTGTCACTGGAGCGTGTAACAGTTTGCAGGTGCACCTTTTGGGTCATCAACTCCAGGCCGGTGCTTGTGCAAACCACCAGCAGCAGCGGGATGGAGTGAGCCTTGTACATACTGCACCCAGGAACAGGTACTCCGTTACCCAGGGAGTATCATTCCTCCAGCCCCCAGGGCAAGCAGTGTCTCCTTTTGATTGCACAAGCAATCCTTGGCAATCTGCATTGCTTGGGGAAAAGGAGCTGGAGCGATCCTGGTATCTCCTCAGCATCAGTGTCTGCCTGCCTTTCATGCTCACACTGCCCCTGCCATGGGCTACGCATGTGTATTCATGACAGTGTCTGCACATCAATAATTGATAGCTGAGTGTCTGCGGCTGTGGCTTGCTTGTGAATCATTTGTGCTGGTTCCCGCTTCATTCGCACATGCGGCAGCAGTCCCGGGTACCTTTTGCGGTCTCAAAGCAACAGGACAAGCCTCCTCCTCATGTTGGCATGCTCACAACAGAAGCAGATGCACAGAGGATGCAAACACAGTCCATGGGAGTGCTGGCTGACGCCGTCTTCTTGAGCGTGGTGAAACAGCACAATTCCCCTGCTTCAGCGGGGCTGGCTGGGAGAAGTTTCTCTTGAAGAACGGCAGCTAGAAAGCTGATCTGTCCTGCAGCTTTCTTCTTCAGTTAATGGGGTTGCACCATCTCCATCGATGGAAATCTCTAAGGGCAAGTTAGACACACTTGGCTGGGGTAGGTTAGCCTGGGATGCTCCTGCTTTGAGCAAGGGTTGGACTAGATGTGACCTCCTGATGCCCCATCCAGCTCTGGATTCCTGTAATTCTCTAGAAATGTCTCTTCTGGTTAATGCTGAATCAATGAATGGAAACCCACCAGTAGT